TTTCAGCCTGAGTATTCTCCAATATTTCTCTTTTCTGAATTCATTCATAAGTTTATCCCTATCTTCCTTCAGTTCTTTGATTTCTTTGTGTGTTCTCTAAATTCACTGAATTCTTTTATCATGTTTATAATTGTTCTTTTGTGTTTGATGTCCTACATTATCTCTAGGGGGTTCACACTGTACTCCTCTAGAGGACTGATGGTGCTTGGTGGGATATATTCTTTTGTTTCTTCACATTATTTTTCCTCTCTGCCTTTGACGTGGTTTTTTCTTTTTTGATAGTTTCTTGTTCAGAACTATTGGTACTTTGTGGGGATATATTATTTTGGTTTTTCATGTTATTATTTTTTCTTTGTGACTTTGACATGTGAATTTCCTTCCTAGTTTCTGATTCTTGTGTGAGCAAACCTTCCTTTGTTTAGTTTAGGTCTGCTTCTTTTTTGTAAACTTTATGTGCCTTTGTGATTTACTTGTTGGGCATGAAAAGCTGGTTGATCTAGGCCTCAGGTTCTCACTTTTGACTTTATATTGGCATGGCCTAATTGCTTTTGTATTCAGGAGTTCCCACAGAGGCCCAAGTGAGATGAGGCTCAGGTGCTCTCAGGCTTTCTCCTAAGGTCTTGGTCCCTCCAGGAAAGATGCTGCCCTCAGGAATTTGGGGGCTGAGCTGGCCTGGGAGAAGGACCCAGGATAGATGTTGGTCTCAGGAAGCTGGTGGCTGTGCCACCCAGGGAAGTAAAGGTAGGTGAGGGAGGGACCAGGCCTAGAGGGTTCCTGGGGGCCGCAGGGAGGAAATGGGTTGGTCCGGATGGAGAGGATCAGGAAGCAGTGGTAGCTCTGGGCCGAGAGGTCAGCCCGGGTGTCTGGGGTGCCAAGACAAGAAATGGGCCTGTACCCAGGCTAGGAGAAGAAACCTGGCCGGGGAGCTGGGAGGGTGAAAAAGGCTGGGGGAGTCAAGGCACGGTGGGCGCGCTGGTCTTACCCAGGGAAGGTGCTGGGACCAGGACACTGGAGGCTGTGCAGCCCAGGGAAGTAAAGGGAGGTGAGGGCAAGACCAGGCCTAGAGGGTTCCTGGGGGCCAGCAGGAAGGAACTGGGTTGGTCCGGATGCAAAGGATCAGGAAGCAGTGGTGGCTCTGGGCCAAGAGGTTAGCCCTGGTGTCTGGGTTGCCAAGACAAGAAATGGGCCTGTACTCAGGCTAGGAGGAGAGACCAGAGGGGGAGCTGGGATGGTGAAAGAGGCTGGGGGAGTCAAGGCTCTGTCCACGCACTGGACTTACCCAGGGAAGGTGCTGGTACCAGGACACTTGAGGCTGTTTTATGCAGTTTTATGCAGGTCCTAAGGATCAAACTCAGATGACCAGACTTGTGCATCAAGCACCTTTACTAACTGAGTCATGTAACTGGCCCTGGTGTGCAAGTGCTTTACCACTGGACTATCCCCTAACCTCTAAGACAAAACAAAACCATTCTTTGAAGCCCATATCTATTATTTTTCTTTACAGCCTGTGCTCCCTAATGGGTCCTAAAGTTCCTAAACGTAAGACCTCTAGACATGTGACCTCCTAGAGAGCTCAATGCTCCAGCTCATGTAGTCAAAGCTTGTGGAACAGCCTGCTTCAGCAGGGAAAGCCACTGGAGGACCTGAAGAGCTCCACCCCACACAGGTGATTCAGTGGCTGAGCTGCTGCTGCTCCTGGAATTCAGTGACAGAACTCACAACAGGGCTATTATAAAGCACTCAGCATTCCAAGACCCCTTGCTCAGAGATGAACTTGGCATGCTAGCTACCTTTTACTACAAACTGACAGAGTCCCATCTCTGCTGTCAAACAGATGAGACTTTTCATCAAGGAACACTTAAGAAGCGAAATTATTTTCCCTCAATGGCTCAGGAACAGGTTACTCATATACCTTTGATCCTTTACTACGAGTAGGTTGTATTTTTTCTAGATAGAGCTCCAATACTAAACTCTTAAACTGCGCGGGGTGGGGGGTGGGGGGTTCACCCATGGAGTAGGCCTTTTAAAAGCAAGACCAGACCCTCACAAGGAGGACATGGTAGCTTGGTACTGAGCACAAAGCACGTCATGAAATAGGGAAGTTGAGATGTGAAGGTTTCTTGCCTGAGAGGCACCTCATCCATCATGTGCAGAATTAGAGTTCTGCAAAACTCTCCCGAGGCTCAAGTTCAACCCAGGGGCATCCTGGTGTCCTACACACAGCACCAAGAGAAAGTGAAGTATGCAAGTGTTTACTGGGGAAAATAGGAAGGAGAAAAAGGAGCAAGAAGGGGGCAGGGCAAAGAGACCAAGGTCGGGATGCAGGGCTGACACCCCAGAAAGAAGACGAAGGAGAAAGGGAGGTGAAGAAGGAAGTACCTGGGCCGCATAGCAGAAGGCAGGCCAGGACCCAGACCCCGTCAGGCACTTCCCACCTGTTGGCCACTCTCAGAGCATTTATATATTTCATTTTTTACACTTACATGTGTGTGCACATGTACACAGGTGTACCAGGGCATGTACCTGCAGGCCAGAGGGCAACTTGCAAGTCAGTTCTTACTTTCTTCTGTGTGGGCTTCGGGGATTGAACTCATGTCATCAGGCTTGAGGGCAAGCGCCCTCACTCAACGAGCCATCTCACTACCCTCTTATAGCATCTAGGATGGTTATTCTGTATTTGACTAATTGGTCTTATTTCCTAACTGAAGTGTGTGTCTCCAGAAAGCAAAGCCCACAGTTATTTCTTATTATTTAATCCCCAGCCTTGGCAAAACATTTTGTAGTTGCTACCTAATATTTATTGAGTAAAATACATAAGAGATGTAAAGTCAGCATTCTGATTTTGTACAACAGAGCTAATCAGCTCTGGAACACTGAAAATCAGGTGTCATTTTATAAATCTAGACCTTGAGAAATCTCCAAGACAAGATCCGGCAGCCTTTGCTTTCTGGCATGCTGGTCACATACATCACCCATACAAACCAGGGCCCAGAGGATAGCCCAGTCAGCCAAGTGCTTACAGCACAAGCATCAGGACCGAACTTTCATCCCCAGCCCCCATGTAAGAGCCACAAGGACAACTCAGTTCCAGACACACAGGCTAGACCAAAGTGCTGGTGTGTCCCCTAACAATGGGGAGGCAGAGGCAGGAGGATCCCTAGGGCTGGCTGGCCAGGCAGTCTAGCTGAATCTGTAAGCTACAGGTTCAGTGAGAGACCCTGTCTCAAAAAATAAGGTGAACAGTGATTGGGAAGACACCTGATGATGACCTCTGGTCCCTATACTCACAGAGAGAGAGAGAGAGAGAGAGAGAGAGAGAGAGAGAGAGAGAAGAGAGAGAGAGAGAGAGAGAGAGAGAGAGAGAGAGAGAGAGACAGACAGAGACAGAGAGACAGAGAGAGAAAGCTAGAACTTTATTTGGAGTGTGGAATTAGAGGGTAGAAATCTTTGCAGAATACTTTCCAGTGTGGTGCTGGACAGGCTGAAAGCATTCGGGCAGATTGTGTGGCTCCATGGACTAATGATAGCAGCTAATTGTTGGACTAAGTGTTAGAAGCCTTCCAAAGAGACTGCCTCCTCCCTCCTTTATGTGACAATAACACAGTCCAAACTTTAAAACTATCCTGTTATCATGGAGACACATCCCGTTGTAACAACTAACCATTAAAGAATGCCTGTCACCGAACACCTGTTAATTGTCAACAATTATTTAGTCATAACCCTCAAGCTACCAAACTCTGCCAAGCATTTTCTTCATCACATGGTTTATTTCTCAAAAAACCCTGCAGTAGGTGTGACTATTATCACTATCCTATAGGGACAGAACCAAGATTAGCTGCATACATTCAGTGAGAGTCAAGGCCAGGCCTGACCACTAGGTATTGATTGGCACCACTTGGACCAGGAAGTCCAGACCCTAAGCTTACATTTCCAGTTTTCCTGATTACAGGAAGGGTCCCCCCATCTCACCCACATCATTGACAAGGGCAGAGCCTGATCCCTAGGGTAACTATTTAGATCACGGAGTACAAACCTTAGACCTGGCATTTCCAGGTCTTCTGATGACATGAAGGATCTCCCATTTCACCAACATCGACGTACGCACACACCCGCGCAGTGCATGTGTGTGTGTGTGTGTGTGTGTGCGAGCGCACGCGCGCATGTATGTGTATTTCTGTGTTCATATGTGTATGCAGTTCACGTGCATATGGGTGCAGAATTCAGAGGTCCATGTTAGGTTTTATAATTTCTTTGCCTTATTTTGTGTACATGGCTTGTACATGTGTGGGTGTTTGTGCACATGTGTGCATGTGAATCCTGAGGCCAGAAGTTGAAGTTGGATGTCATCTACCCTAGTTTTTTGAAACAGGGTCTCTCACTGAACCTAGTGTTGGCAAATTCAGCTAGCAGGCTGGCCAGCCCACCCCAGCATGCCTGCTTCTGTCTCCTCCTCCCCACCCTGAGGTTACAGGTGCATGGCCCACCCAGCGTTTTCAATATGAGTTCTGGACAAGGAACTCAGGTCCATGCTTGTGGGACAAGCACTTTACTGACTGAGCCACCCCCTACCCCCAACATCACTGTTCAAACTATGTCTTGCTGACCCAAGATGAGGTGCCTTGGACCTCAAGGCTAAGTTTCCACTAACAAGAAGGGCTCAATTCCAGATCACAGCGCTGCCAGAGGGCGGGCAGCCAGCCCAGCACTGGCCCTGAGTGGCGGGTGTGGGGGAGGGTCACCCTGGGGCAGAGGGGGGTCACCCCGGGGCAGAGGGGGATCATCCCGGGGCAGAGGAGGTCATCCCGGAGCAGGGGGGATCATCCATCCCGGGGCAGAGGGGGGTTATCCCGGGGCAGAGAGGGGGTCATCCCAGGGCAGGGGGGGTTACCCCGGGGCAGGGGGATCACCCTAGGGCGGGGGGGTCATCCTGGGGTGGGGGGGTCAGTCACCCCGGGTCAGAGGGGCGTCATCCCGGAGCGGGGGGGAGTCACCCGGGGCAGATGCTTGGGCGCTGGAGGCGCGCAAGGGGCCGGGGGCGCGCCCTCCCGCGCCGGCCGCCCTCCCGCGCCCGTGGGCTACGTTCGCTGCTGGCTCCGGCGCGCTCGGCCGGTCCCGCCTCCCGTGGTTTTCGCTTTCGCTTTCCCGCTGCTGTGCAGGGGAACAAAGTGGTCCCGGCCGGCGTGAGCTGCGCTTCGGGCGAGGGGCGCGGAGGCGGCGGCCGGACCGGCGAGGTAAGCTCAGCCCGCGGCCGCTCACGGGCTCCTCCTTCTGGCGTCCGGTCCTCGCGGCCCCGGGGCCCCCACCGGGCGGGGAGGGCCGCCGGCGTGGCGCCGCTGGGGCTCGGTGGCCTCGGACCCCAGGCCGGGCTGGAGGGCCTGGGACGCCTCAGAGGAGCGCGCCGAGGGGCTAGCACCATGTATCGTGACATCCTTCCAAGTGCCTACGTGGAAGGACGCATCTGAATGCAAAGCGATTGCCCACGCTAAGCTCAGCCAGGAGGCATAGCCCCCCTCCACCCGCTACCTACCTGTCGGGCTCAGCTGCATCCCGGGTCTTAATTTCCAAGGTGTGCTGCACCTGGGTACCTTCTGCGCATTCCCTGGTCCAGCACACTGGCAGCTGGCCTGTCCTGGCTCTAGGTCCTAGCCATGAGAGCAGCTAGGCCAGAACCCCTCCCAGGGTCCCTCCCCATGTGAAGTTAGAAGTTCGTTCTGCAGGGGTCCCAAGCCCACGCTGGCATAGGGGGTCAGGGATGGATGCATTCAGAGACTCAAGATAGCCCTGCCCAGACCAAGAATCTGTCTGCGCATTCCAGCAGAAGGCTGCAAGGTGGGGGCTGCCTTGTCTTTGCCTTTGGTGGGGTATTGTCAGGTGTGAGGACTGGCTCCACTCCAGGCTGAGGAGACAGCCCCTGCCCTCCGGGCATGTGCCATTCCTACAAGAGAAAAATGTGTGTAGACATTACCCATGAGACACGTTGTACAAATGTGCTGACTTGGCGGAGCACGCCTTTAATCCCAGCACTCCCGAGGCAGAAGCAGGCAGGTCTCTGTAAGTGCGACGCCAGCCTAGTCTGCATAGCAAGTTCCAGGCCAGTCAGGGCTACAAAGTGAGGCCCTGTTACATGGAGGAAACAAGACAACTGAGATGATACAAGTGCTCAGAGCCAAAAGCATTGACCAGACACTTCCTTACATTTGAGTGACAGCTTTTAATGTGCCACCCCCTTTATTCAGCTTTTGTCTCCAAAAAGATGGTTTCTGCCTAACATGGGGGTCTGAGCAAAGGTCCATGGCCGAAACAAAATTTGATCTGAACTTTGGAAAAAAAAATCTGAAAAGATGACAAGAGGTTCTAATTTTCTAAAACGGTAGGGTCTCTCTAAGGTGCACTGGGGATCACTGCTGTTAGCAAACTGTTTCTTGAGCCACTGGATTTTTGTCTCTACTGTGGTGAATTGTTTTCCATGAGCTTATTTCTCTTGAACTCTGTTCTCTCCCCTCCTGCTAGCTGAGTTGTAGCAGCAATAAAATGTTCTTTCACTTCCTGGGTCTTGGAGGTGGGAGAAGGGAGGTGGTGTCCAGAAAAGCGCTCTCTCTCTCTCTCTCTCTCTCTCTCTCTTGTCACGCCATCTCCAATGAAGCCCGTGTGAGATCCTCCGTGGGTTGAGTCTCTCTCTCTCCTCTCTCTCCCTCTGTCTCTCTCTCTCTCTCTCTCTCTCTCTCTCTCTCCTCTCTCTCCCTCTGTCTCTCTCTCTCTCACTGTCTCTCTCTCTCTCTCTCTCTCTTTCTCTCCTCCTCCTCCTCCTCCTCCTCCTTCTCCTTCTCCTCCTCTTCCTCGTTAACATCTTGAAAACTGATTGGCTCAGCTGAAGACTAAGCCATCATCCTCACCACCTTGTTTTCTCCATATCCTGATCACTGGTTTAGCCACCAACTTGAGATGAACTTGACCTTCATTACATGTTTCATTAGGCAATAATTCACGGGATTTTTCTCATTCTCCTTAGGTTGTTGTGTCAGTAGAACTGAACCACCTTAGTCCTCAGTCCATGGCACACTATAGCTCTTGGCCCATTGAGATCCTCTCTTTTGTTTTTAGTATTTTTCCTGTTTATTCTCCATTTCTTTCCTATCACCCCTGTGAGCTTTGTCTGTGCTAAGTATGCATAGTTACTGTCTGTCTCAACCTCCTTCAGATCTGCTTTAGAACTGAGTACCTTTGAAAGATAAGTCATGTTTACTTTTTTGTACTCGCCTAAGTAAATACCATTGTGTTATAAATGTTTGGTTTTCCCTTAGTAGTCGTGTTTTTCAGCGGATCCATGCTAGGTGTGAATCTAACTTGTTGCTTCTGGCCCTTGAAAGACACTCTTAAAGAGAGCTGGGTAGATGGCAGGCAGGTGGACAGATGGATGTCAACAGGTGGGTGTGCTGGTTCTGGGATGACTTACTGAACCAACCCCCTTGTACTGCAGAGTAACTTCCTCAGCGTCCCTCAGCAGCTGTACACAAAGAGTCCCTTTGCAGACATCTGTCTGCACTTAAGATGATACAGCTTTTGGCAATCTGATCGATCATAGCTGTTCTCTGTATTTTGTTTCGTTTTAATTTCTTACTGTATTTTATTTACTTTGTGTGTGTGTATGTGTATGTGTGTGCATGTGTATGTGTATGTGTGTATGACAGCACATGTGTGGAGGCCAGAGAACATCTTGTGGGAGTGGGTTCTCCCCCAACCCAGGAATCGAACTCAGGTTGTCAGGCTTGGTGGCAAGCACCTTCCCTGCTAAGCCACATGGCTGCCCTTCCATTTGTGTCTTAATTGGGCATCTCTTCACATTGCTTTGTCGTCATTTACAAACCGCCTACCTGCTTTATTGTTTTGGGTTTTTTGTTTTTTTTTTTTTTAGATTTCTGATGTTTTCTACCTGATTTGCATTTGCATATTGATATTCACGTGTGTTAATGCCGGTCAGACGCGGGTGTTTCGATTCTTCTAGTCACCTCACCATCTGTTAACCTGATTTCTGGTTTCATTTACATTATTGCTTTTAACAAACACATTTCTCAAATTGTTACTATTGTACCATAAGGTGTACCTGTTGACAGTCTGCAATGGTGGTGGTTAGAATAGTAGTTACAAGCTTACAAAATCATCGCCACAATCTAATTTTAACATTTTTGTTACTCCAAAGTATAATCACATACCCATTAGCAGTCACCTCTCCAAAGTCTCTCAATATCCCCTCCCCACCCTAGGCAAGCATTATTCATTCATAATCTCTCTCTCTCCCTCTCTCTCACCTGAGGATGACCTCAAACTCTTGATCCTCCTACCTCTTCACCTCCCAAGGGCTGGGTGATTATTACAAGTGGGAACTAGCTACTGCAACTTGGTCTCTATTTTCTGTGTCTCTAGATTTACATATTTCTGGCAATTGCATATATATGGAATTACACAATACGTAGTTTATTGTAACTGGCTTCTGTCACTTGCCATAATGGCTTCGAGGTGTATTTGCATATGATATGACGTGTGTCAGTAGTTTGTTTCTTTCTGTTTCCCAATAATGTTCCATTGTGTATCCTGTGTTTTATTTATCCATTCATCAGTCAATGAAAAATAAACAAAAGTCTGGTTGTCTCTGCTTGGGAGCTGCTATGAATGGTACCATTGTGAAAATTCACATACAAGTACTTGTGCAAATATATCTTTTTTTCTTTTTTACAATCTGCTTGTTTTTATTGTTGTTTTTATTTTGTTGTGCCCTAAATGCATAGGGTTCTGACGATGTGGTGCCCGGGGCAGAGCGGGCTGGTGCTGTGGCTGAACCAGGAGCCCTTTGGCCTCCTTCCTTATCTGATTATTTTTCCATCATGCATTTCAGGAAGCTCTCTCAGCTCATACAATACCTCCTATCTCAGTATGCCTGTTAATTCTCTTGGCAAGACTCTGTGTTAACTTGCTTGTTTACAATGCTTGCAGCATGCTGGGCAGCACAGGAGACTCCCCAGCTCCCCAGCTTTCATGGAAACGTTGTGGGTTGTTCCTTCTTGAACAGCAGCCCTTCCCTGGATGTTGACCTAGCAACTCCGTGTTCCCTAAAAGTCAGAGCACCCCAGATAGTTCTTCTCTTTCCCTTGGTGTCCGTCATTTTAGCAAGTGAATAGAAGATGGTGCTTGTTGCTGAAAGGGCGGCCATGTATCTACTTCTCCCCAGTGTGTGCTTGGCCTTCTGGGTCATAGGGCAGCTCTGGTAACTCTGAGGACCTTCCAGACTGTTTTACAAAGTAGCTGTACTGCAGTAATTTTCTTTTTACATCTTCTCCTACTTTATAGCTTTTTCCTTTTTCTTCAACATCTTTTTACTTAGATTTTGACCTTTTATTATGGCTTTATAATATTTTTTTCTAGCTCTTTTTTTTTTAGCTTGTCATGGACTTTAAAATTTTTTTTTAGATAGAATTGCACATAACCTGCCTGCCTTCTAATTCCCTGTGTTGTAGATACTGACCGTGGATTCCTGATCCTCCTGACTTCACCTCCCCAGTGCTGGGGTTACAGGCTTGAATTGTTTGTTTTTTAATCTATTTGGATATTTCACAGAAAGTCTTCCTGAAATTTTAACTGGAGTTGAACTGAAATCATAAGTCAGTCTGGGAATTAAAACCTTCCATGTCAGGTGATTGTTTCCATGGTCTCTCTAGGTTTGTTCATGTTTTCTTTTTTGAAATAATGAATTTATTTATTTTTTACATTTATTTGTGTGTGGGGGGGTGGAAATGAATGTGGAGGTCAGAGGACAACTTGCAGGAGTCGGTTCTTCCAAGGATTGAACCCAGTTCATCAGGCACCACCACCACTGAACCATTTTGCGGGTCCCCATTCAAGCCTTTTCTCCTGTACTTTCATACTTTTAGAATTCTGTCCACAAAGCTCTTGCATACTCCTTATTAAAAGAATTATTGGATTCTGCGATATGTCTGTTGTAAATGATATCTTATTTTGTCACATTAGCGTCTGTTACACATTTTTCTCTTACTTACTTGGTCATTTGTAGTGTGGATGAAAGCAGTCAGTTGTTTTTAGGTTGGTCTTGTGTCTATACCATTCTGGACCCATTCTTTCTGATTGTTTTTCTGTGGGTTATTCTGAGACACCTGTGTAAATGTTTATGCCCAGTGCAGACGTTGATAACTTTTGCCTCTTTCCATTCTTTTTATTATTT